TGAATTTGCATTATAGAAGGTAGTATCTTATCAATTTCTTATGGTTTTTTTTAAGCCAGTTATAGCTACCACATACAGAATATATAGAAATAAATCCATGTTTTGGTTAGAAAAGAATAAAAGGAAACAGCAAAAAGCCAGGGTATTAAATATAGTTTTATGCAAAAGGAGAATGATGTTTTATAGGAGCTTATCATTATCTAGGGACATTTTAGCAGACCTACATAAAATAACAAACCACTTTACCCCTCTTTCTTCCTGGATAGCTGGCTGTGGCCTACATGTGCTCCTGACACCAGAGTAACTAATGTCCCCTGTGCCAGCAAAGGATTCTGATTTGATATAAGCATTCAAACCTGTCTGCCTTGAGATATGGCATCTGTCACCCTCCGCTACGATTGATTTCCCTTTGCCTTTAAATGCAGTGCTTGCAATGCAAGCCAAGGACACTCGCCTGCCTGGTCAAGTAATGACAATCGTCTTTAAGGAATAATGGCCCAAACACTGCTTTTGAAAAGTTACCAGGCCGCATCCAATAATGAATTCCCAGTCGATGACACATTGATAGATTCCTATTCTTCAGATGGGACACTGAAGCTGCAGTTTAATTGACAAGAAATGAATTCAGGAGGTAAGGAAGGAAAAGCCGGGATGAGATGGCGGGTGGGAGGAAGCATGAGGGGGACTAAATTCTGTGTGATCAGCAAGGTTTCAAACAATCATTGGCGAAGTGAAGTCTCCGCCATATCTATAACTCATCGTGTTTTATAGGCCATTAGGATCTCCCGAGAAGGGCCGTGTGGAGACTGTGGCTTTTTGTCGAAATTAAAATGTCAGAGAGAAAGAAATAGAACAAAACAGGGAATCTGCAATTAATTACCTGGCCATAAAAATTCAATAATCGGGAAGCAATGCTGTTTTCTACACAGCAGTACTCCTGATCACAGCAGACTGGAATAGAATACATTCATCTCCCCAAATTACATTTATAATCTAAAATGGAATATACTAGAAAGGAAAAAGACTCTCAGTGTAAGCAGAGTACAGTCTGTAAGTGACTGTCCTGGATAAGCTTTACTTTAATTTGTACAAAAACTCAAATATCTGAAAAATCCAGTTCTCAAAAAGTAAATAAATAAATAAAAATAAAGGCACCAATGAAACAAGGCACCATGGAACCTATTCAAAATTTAAATGCAGAAATTATATAACATCATTAAAACAAACAATGAACATTGCTAAAAATATACAGCCAATTTTAAACCTGGGGTAAAATGCACAGATCTGACTGGTGACTAATACATTAGGGGTGTCAGCCTGAGGTAACTACCACAAATGATTGCCAAAATGATACATGCCATCAATGATATATGCCCATGGAAATTCAATAGTATAAATGTTGTTGACATGAGAGAAGATCCAGTGTACTGTAGGTTTCACTGACTTATTGGTCAACTGACATCAATAAAAAAATACTATTGGTGCTCACATGGAAAAAACACACAAATATGTCCTCAGAAATGAGGATTTCAGTTTGTCTTAATGGTCTGTGTTGTCCATTAAAACAATAATCACATTGTTACACTTCATAGTGAGACACTGCTCAGAGTCCCACAGTCCCTACAGTGAGGACAGCAGAGATGTCAAATTCCCAGATCAGTGTTTTTGTCTCTTATTCTTATTGAAAATAACTCTTTGCTAGAACATCACAACTCAACAAGGACAACTTTATTTAAGAATGTAAGGTGGAAGGAGAAACGGTTATCATGTCACCAGTAATTTGCTATCATCTCATCTTTATGAACAGCATAAGCTCGCTTACGCACCTTTGTTAGCAAATGTCACTGCACACTTAACAATATAAACTGCATATTGTGCCTATGTGTTGAACCAGTCTCTGCGGTAGATGCTTGAGGTTTTTACTTGTGTCTCCTCTCAAAAGTTAGTTACTGGATATATCAAGGTGAGGGAAGGGAAAGGACACTTGGGCGCAGTCGTCCAGACTCCTCATGGAGATTCAGACTCCCACAGCAGAGGGTGGTCTGAAAGGGAGGAGGAGTGGTTTTAATTTAAGGAATGCAGTGGTGTAATATTTCACCCTCCGCTATTGTCTCACATTATCTTGGTAAACATCCCAGGTACTAATATGATATATTTTCAAGCAGGCTGTGTTTCATCCTGCTCTCTGTGTGATTAATGAATGACAGAGGGATGAAACAGGGACAGAGATTTATGGTGCTCCGGCACATAGAATATGTATAATTATCAGCTGTGTGGTGAAAGCAGCTCAGTTTGAGTGATAGGCACATAGAGAGAAATCTACTAAATGACTCCATTCCTCCTGAGAAGTCACAGGAAGAGGATTTAAAAAAAAAAATCCCTGTCATTTTGTCATTTTGGCCTTTTTTTCCTATACATTTATAGGCATGCTCGAGAAAATGAGTGTATATGCTGCAACTAAAAATCTACAGTACAAAGCTTAATCAGTGTATGGATATTATGCAACACAGGCCTAGTATTAACAGTATATACCTAGCATGTAGGTTTGATGTTTAAGAGATGGTTAACAAAGAAGTTTGATGGGCTAAACCTGTCTTTAGATCCAGCATCGGATCATAACCTTTGCCATATTTCGCAAACATACATAAGAAGAACACGATTTTTGACTTGTGGAGATAAAACTAAGTGACT